ACACAAAAAAAAAAAAAAAAAAACAGTAAAACCAATACCTACTCAGCTTTGCATCGAAGCTAAAAAATTCAAAAACACATGAATGGTTTTTTGAACAAAAAATAAATAAAATTTCAAAATATTAAGTGGCTATCTCATAAATTTTTTCTAGGCTTAAAAAGGAAACCTGGTAATAGTTTGAGATAAAAAAAAAAACTTTAGTGGTTGCTTAATGCATTTTATGTAATTTGATTAAAAAACTAAAAAAAAAAATAAAGATACATAAATTATAATTTTAACTTAGAATTTTGAAAACTAAACAGTTGTATTTTACGCTAAAATTAGTTTGTGCCAATCATAATTTTATTTAAATAATTATTTTTTATTATAATAACTTAAACTTTTAAAAAGTAAGATAATACAAGTGAGTCAATAATCTGTCACTTTTTTTTAGTGATAAATGGTGCCAGAAATGTAAGAATATTTTATTTATTTTTAATTTAACTAATTCAATTTTTATAATAACATGCAAAGTTTTTGTTAACTAAACTTTTAAAAATCAAGTAATATTGTGGAAAAATATACTGCTAATAAATTATCAAAACTCACTTGCATATACAGTAGAGCCTCGATAGTCCGGACGAATTCAGACCGAGCATCGTCCGGATTATCGATTTTTCCGGATTACCGGAGGTTTCTCAAAACTACCTTCTCAAATAACTAAGATTTTATTNGTATTAAATTACATATTAATTTGGACTAAAATATTGAACAATTTGTATACTTTGAAATTACTTTGATCAAGAGTATGTGCTAAGTTATTTGAAAATCTATTTTGTAAATTGAGGTCTTTGTCAGTATTTAATAGCAATTTGCACCATCCACTAATGTTGTTTAGATTTAATAAACTATTATTAGATATGCTTTGTTTCATAAAAGCTTTTGATAAATTTTCAGCACTGAAAAAAGAAGTAATTTAAATATAATTTTCGTAGTTTATATTTTTATATTTTATTACTGAAACTTTAACTTTGAAATATATTAAATGATAATCAAAATATAAATATGGAAAACTAATTTACAAAGTATTATTTAAAAATTAAATTTTCTAAAAAACAATTTAATTAACATGAAATGAATTATAAAACTTACCAAGGTAACTCAAATTTTGTTCTTTCATTAAAAATTTGGATTCTATTAATTGAAGTTTTCCCTAAATTTTTATGTCTCTAAAAAAAAGGAAGTAATATTACAATAAAATAATCAATATAAAATTCTATTATATGTTCAAAATCAAACCAGAAATTAAAAATGTCCTTATAGAACAAAATAAAATTATTTTTTAAAATGTATTAATAAAAATTATTTTTTAAATTGTCATTTTCTTTGAAGTTTAAAAGTAAATTTTTAAACTATTTATACTTAATAATCTATATTCTCCAAATTTTTCTGATTTAATCAATCAAATATATTATTTTAAATTTTATAAAAATAATTTTTTAGTATACAAACATATGCCATTTTCAATCAACTTTAATAAAATTCTTTACAAAATTTATTTAAAAATAATTTAAATTAAGCAGTTTTTTTTATAGAATAACAAAAATAATTTGATTTTTATTAAACTACTGCAGAAAATAAATAAAATGTGGTACGTTTGTATCCCTGGATAACATAAAATAGTATTTACAAATTCCATTAGTTGTTGAGAATTAATAGATGGACGCAGATGAACAATTTCTTTCCTCACACTTCGAAGACCATATGCCAGTTCTTTACAGAATTTAGTATTACTATCAAAAAGACCTTTGCAACGAGTTTCTTGAAGTATATTTGAACTTTCCAAAAAACTTAAAGCAAAAAAAATAAACAAAAATTACATGCAAATAATACTAAAATAATTAATGTTTTATGCGTTTTTACTTTTATATTAATTTCTCTAATGCCTGACTTATTTTATCTTTAAATTAAAGTTAACTTTTAATTTTCAAGCATTATTATACAAACTTTTAAGAACTATTTCAATAATTAAAAAGTATTTATTTTGCGGTTATAAAAATGTATAAAAGGTATAGAACTATATAGATATAAATTATTAAATATGTATTGCCAAAAATTGAAGAGAAAAAGCTTAATAAGTAAGAATTTTTAATGATTAACTTAATAGACTTCTTTATATTTTTTGTTACAAAATTATTTAATATCTTAAATGGTTACTATTATGTAAGACAATATAAATAGATTTCATATGAATTACTTGTTTCACCAGAAATTTTTTTTGAGATATGTAGTATTAATATTAAAATATTTTCATCTAAATTATACAAATTTTTATTAGAAGTTATTTAATTTTTTGAAGGGCTAAGAATGAATTTGAGGGCATAAACCCCCAAAGTCCTTCCAGATTGTACTACTACAAGTGATTTGCTTATAGATTGGCAGAGTTTATACATTATAATTCTCATCAAACTGTAATATAAATTAAAATTAAATATAAATAACTGTTAAAAACAATCAAAATTAGTAATATGGTAGTAAGATATTTGAGACATTAAATTGACTAGTAAAAAGTTATAACATAAAAAATAAAAAAAAAGTTATTCTAAAAACTACTAAGCATAGCTAATTGAAATAGTTTAATGAAACATGTACTATTGATAAAGTAACGTAAATTTAAATGAAGTTAAGTACAGTTAGGATTCAGCAAAAAAATAGATTATAGTTGATATTTAACTGTAATTAATAACACTATAAAAAATAAGGCTTTGGTGCGTATATTATAAATTTAACAATAATTATTCTTTTGTGTGGGCTGTTTTGTACTTTAGTTTTAAATTAGATTTTTAATAGTAAATCAAAAGAATAATTATTAATTTAAGAATATTCTATTAAAATTTTTAAAGATTTGTTATATTTAAAAAAATATATTGCAGTTTTTTAATTCAGAATAAAATTTGGTTTTATCGCTTTAGACGGCTGCTGAATTTTGAGATATTTTTAAAATTTCTAAAATTGAGGAAGTTATTAGAATTTTTTAAGGTAATATCTTCAACTAGTACAAGTTTCTTTTCATGAATAAAACAACAAAATCGGTTCAGTGAAAGTTAAGAATTTTCATGGTCAGACATATATTATAATAAAACCAATAGCATTCCATCAAAGGTAAAGTAATAGTTTTTTTTTCAAAATAGCTTTTTTTTTAATTTTGTTTTATTGAAAAAAAAAAATTTTTCTTTAAGTTTGTGTGGTATATTTTTGATCTTCTTTAAAATTTTTATGATACTTTATACGTGAAAAAATATTCTTTGTGCTCCCTCCATCATAAATTTTTAAATAATTATCTTGATTACCATAATTGAAATTGATGATTTTTAATTGTATCGGTATAATTTATGGATATGATACTATCATACATGAAAAGCTATAAATCAATATTTGTGCAGGCTTTAATAGAAAATACAAAGTCATATTAAAGAAAAAAAGTCAATGTTTAGTAAAAGCAATGAATTTCCTAAGGTTTTTTTTGGTTTGTATTTGTATATTATTATATTGATATTTTTAGTTTTTATTAATAATAACTATATTCGTTAATTTTAGCATACTTCAATAGTTTATCCATAAATGGTTGACTTTTATAGCACAAATTATACATTTTACATTTTGATACCATCCATTTTTCCACATCATCTGGTTTTATTAAATAGTATAAAATACCAGAAACTGGTTGATTCTAAAAAAAAAAAAAACATTTCTCAAATAAAACATAATAAAATAAATTATAAAGCAAACCATACCAAATTGCCATAATCACAAAGAAAAAAAAACAATTTGAAATATTTATCAATTACATCCATATTTGTCAACTTTTCTTCTACTACATCTAAAAAAAATAATAATATTTTATATATATATATAAAAAAAAAAAACAAAATGGTTGTACAGTGGGGTTGTGACACAGTATGAACGTAGCATAGTTGCGAGAAATATCTGACAGAGATTATAATCACTATCATAAGAAATGCTTTGATGCAAATCTGTAGATAGCGTTTAATTTTAAGAAATTGATGGATTATTTCAAAAGCAAAAATAACTCCTATTTTTTGTTTTGGTTCATTCATTTTTTAAAAATTATGTCAGTTTTAACTACCAAAATAACATTGATTTTTTACACGAAAATTACATTTTTTGTTCAATTTTAACAGTAATTTGCACATAGAAGATAAGTTGTTGGGACAAATATTTTTAACTTATAGTATATAATGTAAGCTTTAATTTAACATATGTTTAAAAGACGCCGTATTTCCGGATCATTTTCAATAGTTAAGTTGAAAAGGTAGAACTTTTTCAAAATCTGACAATTAACCTGCTCACAGTTGGTTATAATATCAAATAAAAGGCAAATATCCAATTTCAAAAAAAAAAAAAAATTATTTTAATTTGTTAATTTTTTAATAAGTTATAACAAATTTTAGAAAAAAGTGAAAAAATTGTTGAAATTTACTGATTAAAAATTGCAATTTTTTGGGCTATTTTTACCATTTACGGGGAACGAGGAAAATTTTTTTTTAATTTTGGAGGGTAATGTCTTCAAGTAGATACGATTTGTAATCTTTTGGTGTATTATTGAGAAAAATTTGTCCAGTGAAAGCTGAGAAAAAATAGTCACAGACACAAAAAAAAAATAATAATAAAGCACTATAGTAAAATTAATACATTATCAGCTCGCATTGAAGCTAAAATAGTAAAAAATAATTAGCATAAAGGTAAAACATTATTATTCTAAAAATGATGAGGATTACCACATAATACTTACATAAAAGCCAGAAAAAGAAATATTGAGATTTTGTTTCATAACTAACATTGATACGATAAACTGACAAAGCCCAAATTATAAGTTCTTCACACACATTAGAAGGTATTGTTGGTTCTTCAGGTACTAATATTAAAAGGATTTTTTTGAAATTTTGTAAACCTAAAATTAAAAGAGTAAATAATATTTTCAGTATTAAAAATGATATAAATCAAATAAAAACCTTGGATAACAAATTAAATTTTTTTCTAATTCCTTGATTTTTTCATGATTAAAAATCCCATAAATGACTTAAGTTACATAAGCATACATTAATTAAGTAGAGGGTATGGTTTTATAATCACCCCACTATTTTTATTATTCTTTGTTACCTAATTGGAATTTTGGAAACAAATGGGGTTAAACCTCAAAAATACCTTTTTATCTACCCCTACTAAGCCAGAAGTATACATATTGATTTAAGAAGTGTATTAAAAATTGTGTTATTGTTGTAGGACTTAATTAAAATATTTTCTTTGTTATTAAAACTACTAACAGCACTCGTTACAATCAGTTTAGGCAATTTTCTACTTAAAATCTAAGTGGTGTCCATTCACTAGTCATGTTACTCTATATATTAAAAAAATATGTAATAGATAGGTTTGAATCTCAAATCTCTCTTTTAGATTGACTAAATATATAAGTTTAATTAATTTTAAATATGCCAGGTTAAATCAGTAAAATTCCTGACATTTCCTTGGCTATTCTAAAATCTTTTGATTTTTCATGATGTTGCAGGTTTTTTAGACTTATGGACCCCATGTAATTAACTATCAAAATTTATAAGATAAAAATTTGAAAAATTGTTTATTTATATTATTATAGATCTGATATAAAAAACAATAAAATTAATTATTTTATTTTATTAATATTCTGTTCGGTTTAAATAAAATGTTCAATAGTATGAGATAGTTATGTTAAGAAATGCTACAAAATATTTACATTGCGAGTAAAGAAAATTAAATTGATCAATTCATTTATAATAAATAATTAAATAGCAAAAAAATATAAAGCTATTTAATAGTTAATACTAACTTAAATCAACATTACACAATAGTTGACAAATAATATTCATTTCTCTGTCATTTAGTCCATTATGTTGAACAATATCCTTAAAATCGTTAAAATAATTGGTAAATAATGCATTTGTAGATAATTTTTTTCTTTCTGCAAACAAATATCACTCTGATATATTATAACAAAGGTAAATTAATAAAATATACTATAATACTTGTAAATTCATATTGTCGTTATTGCAATATTATGTATCTGTATGCAGGTTTTCAGGATGTTAAAAAATAAATTTGAATTACACTTGTTTTAATACAATAAGCCATTTTTTTATAATATACAATGTAACTACATGTCTTACAAAATATATACACAATAAAAAATGTCTAGAAACACTCATTGTATCATTATTGATAAAAACCTCATCTTGTCAATTATTTAAAATATGCAATGTTGCAGTATAAGCGACAATATTGTATTATAAAATATATAATTATTAATACCGTTTATAACCTTGTTAATATACAATCATATGTTATACATGCTTTTTTACAGTCCAGGTACCAATATATCTTTTAAAGATAAAAAATTACACTCTATATAAAATAATTCATAATATGCCTTTTTTTCTAGCTCCTTGATGGTATTAATATTAAAATAGTTCCGGTTAATACAACAATAAAGAAAACATTTTTTATTTAAATTTTATCCGTATATTCATTAAATATTTTATAATTTAGATTAAAAAAATAAATCTTTACACTGTTATTATCATCTAATATTGATTGATAATAAACAAAATATTTTACATGAGGAAGTTCATACTCATACTATATTTGAGTATTGTAAATAAAAAATTTAAGTTAGTAACATGTAATCAAATTTTAATATTTTTTTAATGAATAATTTTGTTTTTATATCCTGTTTATAATGCATTAAAAGTGTACCAAGAGGGATTTTACTTATTACTTCCTGTTTAATATGAAGTTTTCACTTTTAAGAGCGTATTAACAAAGTTTTACTATAGTAGAAGTTATTATGATTTTATAAAAATAAACATAACTTTATGTTTCACCATATATAATCAATAATATTTTACTAAAAATTACATCCAAAAGTTGTGTTTATTAACTTAAATTTAAACTTTTTATAATTATTAACTTGAGCTCTTGTGAAATAGGAAAACTAAATTCCTGATAAGGATATAAAATAAACATCATTAATCAAATTACTATGGTTATATACCTAAAATTTTAGGTATAAAGTTTTCAGTAAAAAATATTAAATCAAATTTACTCACCGATGCTTTGAGACAATTCCTCAAAAAACATGTCACGGTTATAAAAGAAATCTTCTTGGTCATTCATGTTCAATAGTTTTTACGCATTAAAATAATTGAATACAATGAATTATTTGAATTACTCGTAAAACATTTAATGTTTTAAGAATGAATGTCAAAAATTTTTATTGATATTCATTCGTTGTCTATTATTCTCGAATATCAGACTTACAAAATATATAACGGAATAGTAGTTTGTTATCAGTTTATAATATTTGATTTAACTGAAAATATACCAGTTACCAGAATTGGTTAGTAAAATAGTATTATGTTCACACTCCTATAAACTTATATATATACTCCTACTCTATTAAATTTGTGAATATCGTATATTTTTGTTAAGTCGTGTTATACGCTTACCATTCTAATCGTCGTTTACGGTTATTGTAATGACGCCTATAATTTACAATTTATTTTATTTAACTTTATTTATCTAACATTTTTTAACTTTGTTATTTTTACAAGCTGTTACCACAAGAAACTTTACCTAGTGGTAATAAAAAAGAAAATAACTTTTTTTTAATGTTATCCAGTATTATAAAAATGGAATTTTGTTTGTGATTAATTTGAAATTTGAAAAGATTAATTATACTGTATTTTGTTATTAGTAGAAGAAAATATTTCTATTATATTTTTATTGATCTCTAATTAAACTTAACTGAACTTGATATATTTATTTAATAATGAGTCACGGTGATTCTGAAGCTCAAATGAATTTGTCAGCTCTCCAAAGAGTAGATCCATATGTAGATAGTATTGTACAGACAGCTGGACATGTTGCATTATATTCTTTTAATGCAGATACAAATGCATGGCAAAAAACTAATATTGAGGGTACATTACATGTATATACTCGTTCAGCAAAACCTCTACATAGTATTATGATAATGAATAGATTGAACACTAATAATTTGATGGAGCCTATTGAAAGTGGTCTAGATCTTCAACTACAAGAACCATTTTTATTATACAGAAACAGTACAGGATTGATTTATGGTATTTGGTTTTATAATAAAGAAGAATGTGCAAAGATTTCTAAAATACTAAAATCATTAGCAAAAAATTTAAATGTTAAACATAATGATAAGGTAAATAAACAAGACTCCAGTTCTTCAAAAAATATTGACCTTGTTTCAATGTTGAGTAGAGCACAAGAAGATTACAGGTATGTAAAATAGCCATTAATATATTAATTTTTTTTTTTATTAGTGACATGTTAAGTGAAACAATTAATCAGTTACAATTTTAAACTTCAAATTAATATAAATAGTTTTTGGACATATTTACTAGTATTTTATAATTTTATTCTTAATACTATTTTTGTGGAAAGTTTATAAGAACCTATAATTAAATAATTCTTTTAACAGAGCTTTATTTTTGATAGTCAATTTTAATATTGTATATTCATTTATTGTTTCAATAGAAAACACGTTCCCTCAATTCATCATTAAAACTATATTTGTTTTTCTTTATCAATCTATTTATTAATATTTAATTACTTTTAGGTGGCTACTTTAGCCTATTTAAATAAAAAAAAAATATCAAAATTTACTTAACTAAGTTTTACAATATCTTAATTTTTTTAGAGCTAACAAAACAAGTTCAAAAGTAACTGAAACAACACCAAAAAAAGTTGAAGAAAATGCACCTCCTCAATGTGTAATGGATTTTTTTGCTAAAGCAGGAAGTGGAAAAAATTTTTCAGAAGGACTACCATCATTGTCAAATTATGCAAGCACACAAACTCCAGCTTTAAAAGTTGTAGCTAAGGATAATTTAATGCATAAACTTATGGCTAGTCCTATTCATACTGTAGAACAAATAGAAATGCAACATCGATCAGTAACTCCTAAATCAGATGTAGCTGTTACAACATCTCCAGTTGTACGTGTAAAACCTGTAAACCAATGTCTTTTTAATAACAATAAATCTCGTAATTTGCCTAACCTAATTATGCATGACCCTGAAGAAAACAATGTTCATATTCATCGTAATGGCTATCATCAACCAAAAGGCAATCATTTCAATTCTGCAGGAGTTGAACAATATCTTAATTCCAATGATTCAATTAACAAATCTGATATAGCAATGGGTAATTATAAAACTATGAAATCATATTTTATTTAAATGCATTTCTATGATGTACCATTAAATAGAGTTATATAAAATAATTTGTAAAATCTACTTCTTATACAAAGAAAAATTTAATAATTTCAGAATTTTCAACAAAAATTATTTTAGGTTGATAGATTCTATTTTTTCAGTATATTATTTTCTTTGTTGATGTAATTTAAAATTAACAACATAGTTTTCCTTAAAAAATATATTTACAATTTTTATATTCATTTAAATTAACCTTTTTTCATCTTATATTAATTTTTAATAAAAAATATTTATACTATGGAGTAGTTTAATAACACTAAATATTCAGAGTTAAAATATAAATATTGTTTTAAGTACATTGTCACTTAAATCTAATGTTTTAATTTTATAACGATGATGAAATTATTTTATAGTTAAAATTGTTTGAAACTTAATCATAATCATAATTAACTTTGGTACACTTAAAGATAAATTATTCATATTTTTGAATCAATATCTTTTATTTTAACAACACTTACTCTTCTCAATTTTGAGTAAGTGTATACAGAATTTGAACAAAAAGTTGTCTACTTCTATTTAAAGCAAATTTTTGAAAATTATTTAGTACTAATAATTTGAAAAAAAAAAAACTTTCTAATCATTAAATTGTAAAATTTTAGACTCAACTTCATCAATAAGTAAAGTTATAGAAACACAAATGGAATCTGAAGAATTAATGCCACCAACAAGATTTATAATGGATGATTTTGAAGATGAACTGGTTACATCTTCAGTAAATACAATGACACTTAATGAAATTAAACCAGTAGTACCTAAGTTAGAACCACTAACTAAAAATCAGTTACTTCAAGCTTTTGATTATTTATTGAAAAATGATCCAGATTTTATGAGTAAAATACATGAAGCTTATGTCAAATCATTATTAAGAAACTAAAAAATAGATCCTTAAATATTCCATTACTTAAACAATAAAGGACAACTTTAAATAACATCACTTGACAAAAATATTTGTGTATTATGTAATTTTTACTTTTATTGAAGTAATAAAAAATAATAGGTTTCAAAATAATATTTTTACAATATTACAATAGCAGAGTGCTATTGAATACAGAGAATTCAGATACATATAATTATGAGAGTATTCCACTTAGTAAATACTTAAGTTTATTTTTAACATGTAGAATATAAATTGTTTCATTTTATTTTTAGAAAATATTTAACTTAAATTATTTTCCCAATAAACAAATTTTAAAATAATTATTATTTTTTATTATATTATTAAAAATTATGTTACTAACATAATTCATTATTCTTTTACAATTTAGAATGCATATACATTTAAATTATATTTCATCCTAAATAAACATGTCATACTTGAAAAGAATTAAAATTTAGTACTTTCATTAATCTTAAGTTTCTTAAATTGGCATATTTGTATTGCTCCAAAATGGTTTTTAATTTCTCGAAAATCCACCTTTTAGTTGTCACTGTTTATTTACATCTTAACTAATATAGAATTGATTTTGACTAATTGGATGCTATTATCTAAATTATTCAAACTTTTACTGTAGTATAAATTTCAAGAATATTCATAAACAAAAATATTTATATCACATAAATAATTTTTTTATGTAAAAAAAGTATAATAATTTTATGCCACCTAATTATTATTATATATAATAATAGCTTGCATAAACAGAAAAAATTACCTGTCAAATTTAATGATTACATCTTCTGATATATATATATATATATATATATATATATTTGTATCAGAAAGAACAAAAATACTATATCTGTAATACTTCAACTTTTGTAAATTTCAAGCATATACTATAATTAAAGTTACTTAATCAGTCATTTAGCATATATAATATAAATAAAATGTTTGTCAGCCAACTATTTTTTTTACTAATTTTAGTCAATATAATATTTATCTTAAATTTATTATAAAATATGGCCATTTAAATATTTTTTTTTTGTTTGAAAAATAAATTTTGTGTTAATTTCATATTTATATAAATATTTTTTTATTCTAATTATATTATTGTAATGACTAGTAATATTTTCTTCTGTCTTAGCTTAAATGAAAAGCTTAACAATTATTTTACCTTGTATATTTTATTTATCATATAATTTTAATTTTTTTGCTTACTTAATTATTCCAATTTCCTTTTAGGCAAGAAATATATTTATAACTAACTTATTTCATTGATTTAGTTAATAAGTAATGTGGATCCTCAAAAGAAATAAACATAAAATATATAAATCAGTAACTTAACTTGATAGATTAATTTAATAAATTTTGCAAAAGAAATTTAACTTATTGAAAGAAATTACCTTTATTTGTAAAATTTAGAATGCACCTGTTAAAATTTTACTATTTTTATGTATAATGTATTTTGTTTTTTTTTTAAATTCAGATGTACAAAATGTCCCACTGTGATTTACTAATTTGATAATATAAAATAATGTTAAAATTGGTAAATCTTAGTGGGTCACTCTATATACTTTTGTTTACAATTTCCATTATATAATGTCACTTGAGTTATTTGAAAAATAATAAAGTAATGGAATATTTAGAAATTGTGTTAAAAAAATTATTTTGAAAGAATTGTTTGAATTTTATTGTATATTTTATTTTATATTTTATTTAATAATTTTATTTATACTGGACAAAAAGAAAATTGTGTGATTTACAATATTTAGATAAATTCTATATAGAATTCTGCTATTGATTCCAAATCTGGTTTTAGGTTTGTTCCATTGCATTTAGTCTCTGGGATGATTGGTAATTAAACAATAATTACACTTAAAATTTCATAAGAAAATTTGTTTTTTTCTTGAAACTCCAAATTTGTTTTAAGTATGTTATAAAAGGGTTGTTCGAAAATTGAGACTGCTACGAAAAATTATATATGTTTTTTAGTATTGTACTTAAACTTGATTAAAACATTAATAAAAAAATTAATTCGTCTCAAATCAGTATAATTGTTAAATGTGTCAAATGTTAATTTACACATTTTACTCTTTGGACCATATTATATAAAATCATATGTATTTTCGGTTATGAAATTAAAAATCGATGTGTTTTATATATTTTAATAGTAACAAAAACTAGGACCATTGGATGGTTTTGCTGGTATTCCTCTACGTTTCAATCTACAGATGTGTTCTTCAAGTCTCGGGGCAGCTTCAGTTTCATTTGTTGTGTGCGACCAAAGCACTTCTCCAACAGCACTCGCACCTGGCCATGAAAATTGCAATACATTCGAATCGTCTACAAATTCACCCCACATACAAGCTTCACCACCCAAAAATAAATGATTGTATTCCGGTTTAATGAAAAAATTTTTGGGATCACAATTATAGTATTCTAACCAATCTGTTCCATATTGTACATAGTTTAAATACCAGCAGCTAGACAGTAAAGCATAATGTCCAGATTCTAAGACCTAAACAGTAAAATTTCAAATATCTCATTATTGAATAAATAAACATCTGGATTAGTTAAAGATAATGAAGATAGAAAATTTTATTCGTCTGCGGTCTTATTCAAGATCGGCAATTTACCTCATTATAAACTCAAAAATTTTACCAAATCCATAAAAATTAAACGCATAGGGTCCTAGTATAAATAGTAAAGAAATTAAAGTAAAAGTAAAAAGTTATATATTACATTTAATGTTCTATTGATGTAATCTCCTTGCCATACTTGAACAATTGAATTTTGATCCAATTGAACTTTATTGTTAAATAGCTCGTCCCATACAATTGACTTAAAATTTAATGTGTTTGTTATCTCAAACACATTTTGAAAATAATAATTTTCTAAGTCTAAAATACTGCTCATATTGTGATCCTCCATGAATTTCACAATCCTGGTGTTGTTATCCCTTAACATGTAAAATGTAAGTTTTTATACTTTAAATAACAATAATAATTGAGGATTCATATAAAATCATACTTAAATACTACATTAAAATTATTAAATATTGTCATTAAATTCAATGTAATGATACTTACCAACAATCATGTCTGACTTCATCACCCCCAAGATGTAAGTACTCATCGGGAAATAATCCTTTAACTTCAGTAAAAAGAGTTTTAAGAAAATCATAGTTCTCTTTTAATGTTGGATCAATTGGACCTAGAATAGTAGGATCTGATTCAGAGCATTGTGTTAATAATCCTGGTTGACCACCAGGACCCCATGATCCAGTATGATCTAAAAAGTAAAATAAGGTAATGTGAAATTGTTTTTATGATTAATTTTCTAGTTATAATTTATTTAGTAGAATAACCTGGTGTATCAAATTCCGGAATTACACGAATGCCTCGTAACCTTGCATACTCAATAATGTGTTTAACATCGGCTTTTGTATAAACAGAATATTTATCATAAGCTCCTTTTTCACTAGATAATGGAATTAAAAAATTAAAATGTGTAAGCGAACTTGAAAATTATGTTCCATAAATCATCTTAACATATTATTTTAAATATTTCTTAATGTTAAAATATTTTCTGTAGTAAACCTGAGTTTTGGAAATGAAGTACTCTCAAAAGGAAAGCTCGGATCATCTACTATATGCCAATGAAAAACATTAAGTTTAGAATAAGCCATTGCATCTAATGAAGTTAAAATAGTTTTTACATCTAAGAAATGACGAGACGTATCTAACATGTATCCACGATGTGAGTATTTTGGATAGTCTTTTATAAATGTTCCTCGTACTTGAAACTAAAAGAAATATCTAATAATAAAATGTTGAAGCTATTAAAATGTTTATCATTTAAATACCGTTCCATCTTCTGTTAAGTAAACTAATTGCGAAAACGTTTCTAGGCCTCTATAAATTCCCCAAATTGAAACTGCTGTTAAAACACCAATGGAATGTGTAATATTAATTGTGTCTAAAACACATATAAGTTTTTATCAGGTCTTTTATATTTACTTTTTACCTTTGAACTAGAATAATTACATGTTTCATTCATATCTAAAGAAGGATACTTTTCACAGTAGTTTTCTAGATATATTTTTAATGAGTCCAATTTTTTCACTGAGTTATTATTTTCATCACTAATTGAAGAAATTGTATTTTTTATAGCATTGTTTCCTTTAATGAATAACATTTTTTTATATCTCTTTATGGCATTTTGAAGATCATCGCAATTATTTTGTAAAACCTTAAAGCAAATAGAAAATGAGATGTTGGCGCGAATACTAATTTATATTTAAAATAGAATTGAAAGTTCTTTTCAGAAAATTTGATTTTAAATATATTAAAATAATAATATTTTAAAGTAAATATTAAAATACATTTAACATTCAATTTTTTTTCTTTAAACTTTAGGATAATAAGAAATAATATCAATCAATAATATTTGAAAATACAAAGAAAAATAGTATATAACTAAATTAAAATAATTTTTAGCTTCGATACGAAGCTAAGAAGGTATTAAACTAAGATGAGTTTTTTTTGTTTGCCACCACTCTTTCTCGGCTTTTACTAGACCGATTTCTTTCAACGATAAGTCAAAAGATCACAAATCGTATCTAGTTGAAGACATTACCCTGCTTGCTTTTGGAATAATCCATCAATTTCTTATAATCAAACACTATTTACAGATTTGCATCGAAGCGTTTCTTATGATGGTGATTTTAATCATTGTCAGATATCATCTATACTTGTCCTACACTGTTCCGCGGCCCCACTTTGCTACCTCATTTTTAGCTTCGATGCGAAGCTGAGAAGGTATTGGTTTTACTAAGATGTGTTTATTTTATTTATTTTTTTTTTTTGTGTCTGTTACCACTTTTTCTCAGCTCTCACCGAACCAATTTCTTTCAATGATACGCCAAAAGATCACAAATTGTATCTAGTCGAAGACATTACCCTCAAAAATTGAAAAAAANATGCTATTATTGTGTGAAAATTCTCGATTTTATTTTTTACATTTTTAACTTTATAATGCTATGACATATTGAAAAGTGTATGGATCAACATTATTTTTTTATGAGAAATAATATTTTTTAATAATCCCTTTTTCATTCTACATACTTTATCTTAATTAGGATATTAATAATGAACTAGCAGATCATGTAGCTTTTGGAATAGTCCACCAATTTTTTAAAATAAAACAGTATCTAAAGATTTGCATCGAAGCGTTTTTTTTTTATAGTGATTTTAATCACTGTCAGATATCATTATACTTGATCCATCTATACCACGTCACCACTGTGCCGCGACACCCCTGTGCTGGGTTTTTTAAGATTAACTTAGGTATTTCCCTTTTATTAGTTTAATAAACCACCAATATTTTTATGATAATTTAAGTAAGTAGTGTGTTGTTTTCAAACACATAATCAAATTAGTATATTTAGAGCTGTTTTAAGGAGATATTAGGAACAAGTACTCTTAGTGACTGGTTTGGAGCTGCACTCAATAATATATTAATCATTTATATTAACGTAAAAACATGTGAATCTAATTTATTGATTTTTATTTTATTACTAGTATTTTTTTAAGCGATAAAAGTAGATAAATTGAAGGTTATCCATATTTTTTATGGGCGGATCAATTCCTGAGTATGGCCACCAGGCTGTCATATGAATATTTTGTATGATTCAGTTTGACGCCCTTTAATGTTTACAGACGATACTGTGTTGAAGTATTTTATAAATTTTAATATTATGATTATCACATATAGTGATAAAGACAATTAGCAACTATAAGGACATATTTAGAAATTCATAATGAGTAAAAATTTTCTGTTGATGATTTTTTTCATTAAAAAAGGTCACTTTTGTGTTTTCCTCTGAATACTTCACTGGCAACTATCAATAATAAAAAAATAATCATAATTTATAAAAACAAAATTTACTTGTAATCGGAAATTTTTTGGCTCAATTAAGTAGTATTCATTAGTATTCCGCTGTTCCATAGGTTTTGGCCAAACTTGACCGTGGCTCATTTTTACCCAAGGACCATTATTATTAACACATATTATAAAATCTACCAAATAAATAACAATACACAAATTCACATTCAAACAAAACCGATTTAGAAGTAACATTTTTTTTTAACGATTGAATTAAGAATTTAAATATATTTTGTGATAAATTATGTACAAGTATAATTAAAATCAACGATGTTTAAGTAAAGGTACAAACGTATCGTTATGTTCGTAAACGTGGTCTCTGTCTTGATACTCAACTCCAACTGATAAGTAGTTATATTATAACAATTCATGTAACGTTAGTAATCTGAATATAATGCAGAAGATTAAATGAGATGGATAAGCAGAAAAGAATTTTGGGGAGAGGGGCAATACATTTCATATAATTGGTATATTTAATACCAAATTCCTCTAATTACTTATTTTACACTCAGAAATAGCATAGATTTTAAATTTTCAGGATTCCAGAGTAAAAATGTACGCATATGTGTATAATTCAAAATTAATTTTTTCGGAATAGTATAGAATTTTTTCTCTATTTCTCAATTATTAAATATTTTTTTTCATTCTTTATATGTTATAATAGTGTTAATTTTAATTTTTGTTAGTTCATAAAGTAGAAAATGATATAATGGAGGAAACGACTAGTCGATAACTACTTTTGGACCAATATTTGGGAACTAATTGATAATTTTATATCTTGGCGGGAGGAAGGGTGTTTAGTAACAAAAATAAAAACTCGTACCTCATTACTATCAACTATTACTTTAAATTATTAATAACTTACGAAATACTGATCCAAAAATTGTTTTCACCTAGTTAATTTCTTAATCAAATTTAGAGTATAATGTTAGGCTTTTTTCAATTAAGCAATTAAAATTCTAAATTAGCTAACGGGTAGTTTTGCCCACATGCCTCCCTAATTTTAATTATTTGGCTATTCTACTATACATTGATTATTTTTTTAGACTTTTTATGAATTATTATTCTAAAGATTAATTAAGCTGTCAAATAAACCTAATAGTTATTCAAAAATATTTTTAATTTTTATTAAATTAATATTTATATTGCCTTAAATTATAATGTAATAACAATCATTTTATTATAATTTATTTGTTTGTTTTTTAATTCCTCTACCCAAAGTATATAATTAGTCTATTTAAAATAATTAATTACAAATATCATAAGAACTAAACGTATAAAAAAATCATACAATCAAAACATCTCAAGTGGTTAAACTAATGTGACGAACAAAAAATATTAGAAGATAGAAATTTGATTGCACGATATAACTCCACTGAGCAAAATCAAAAGTAAAGTTCAACTGAATTTTATACCATTTGATAAGATTTTTATATGTAGATTATAAATTTATACCACCAAAATTTGATTATTGTTCCGATTCCCTAGAACTTTTCCATCCGTTTTCCGGAACATTAGATATCTGTGATTCAATTTTCAAATCAGATGTTAATGATATATGGTCTTTAATTTCAAAACTACTTTATTTTCAGGACATAATCACTAAAGTGAAACTTAACGGTACTCGAATATTTACTCCTGTTTAAAGGCTTTAAAACGAAAACTTTTGGCCTTTTTGTTAAGGAGTTCAATCGACGAATTAGATCTAAAAGATGTCTTCCATAACATCATTATACCGTTTAATAGACACACATATATAATATATATATATATAATTAACACAGTGACATACAACAATACTAACAGGAGGGCGGACTGCACACATAAACACTTTTGCAATTCACGGATAATGTGCCATAATAAGATATCCCTATCGACAGTTGACCTTTTACCATCATCGCGACCACTACTTTGGTCTTATAATTAACTTAACTTTTCTACCACGTATATAGTGCGTGTGTGTGTGTCGCCGCCAGCTCCCTGTTAGATTATATCATCTCTAGGTGTCCAGCAGGTTGTATTATCTATTTAATATTTCAATCATTTAATAAATATTTATTTATATCGTTGTTAACCAAGAGTGTTATATATATATTGTAGTGCGACCCTTGATAGTTCCTCTAAGGGAATATAAATTAAATAGGAAATCTCAGTACCTAAGGTAAATATAGCCTAGCTAGCTATCCCCCGTTGGTCCCTTAGAATACTGTTGACGGGCATTTAGGCTCAACTCCTAAATAGCAACGTAACAATAATTTTCATCATTATGGTCGACTATCCTCTTTAGAGATGACCCGTCAAAATATGTCAAAGTCTATTTTACAAGAATGTCATATGGAATCTTGTAATACGATGTACGTGATCGATCGATCCTTTCTATTATTTCTTTTATAGATGGTTCATATTCTTCTTCGGGTACTGCATTGTAGTTAGTAAATTTGCGGTATGAATACTTTGGCCGGTTGAAACTAGCCCACAAACAAAGAGAAATGAAAAGAGTATTAAGAAAGGAAAAAAGAGAGTGGGAGAAACAACAGATCGAAACGATTGAGGAGTTTTTTAAAGATTCCAAAATGTTTTTCAGAAAAGCCAACAAAATAAGGTAATCATATAAACCAAAATCAGAATAACGAATTGATAACAGATCAACAATCCAATGCTGAAGAGCTCAAAAGAGTCTTCCAAGAAATACTAGATCAACCAGAAATCGAGGATCATGGACAGGATAATGCTGTATTCATAACGATAGAACAACACCAGGGAAGGGAGAAATTAAAGAAGCTATAAATATACTAAAGAATAACAAAGAAAAAATATTAGGTGAATACCATTGCGATTTTAAACCCTGAAAATCTAATATACCGTGTGTTTACGCTAAAACNGGTGTTTAGTAACAAAAATAAAAACTCGTACCTCATTACTATCAACTATTACTTTAAATTATTAATAACTTACGAAATACTGATCCAAAAATTGTTTTCACCTAGTTAATTTCTTAATCAAATTTAGAGTATAATGTTAGGCTTTTTTCAATTAAGCAATTAAAATTCTAAATTAGCTAACGGGTAGTTTTGCCCACATGCCTCCCTAATTTTAATTATTTGGCTATTCTACTATACATTGATTATTTTTTTAGACTTTTTATGAATTATTATTCTAAAGATTAATTAAGCTGTCAAATAAACCTAATAGTTATTCAAAAATATTTTTAATTTTTATTAAATTAATATTTATATTGCCTTAAATTATAATGTAATAACAATCATTTTATTATAATTTATTTGTTTGTTTTTTAATTCCTCTACCCAAAGTATATAATTAGTCTATTTAAAATAATTAATTACAAATATCATAAGAACTAAACGTATAAAAAAATCATACAATCAAAACATCTCAAGTGGTTAAACTAATGTGACGAACAAAAAATATTAGAAGATAGAAATTTGATTGCACGATATAACTCCACTGAGCAAAATCAAAAGTAAAGTTCAACTGAATTTTATACCATTTGATAAGATTTTTATATGTAGATTATAAATTTATACCACCAAAATTTGATTATTGTTCCGATTCCCTAGAACTTTTCCATCCGTTTTCCGGAACATTAGATATCTGTGATTCAATTTTCAAATCAGATGTTAATGATATATGGTCTTTAATTTCAAAACTACTTTATTTTCAGGACATAATCACTAAAGTGAAACTTAACGGTACTCGAATATTTACTCCTGTTTAAAGGCTTTAAAACGAAAACTTTTGGCCTTTTTGTTAAGGAGTTCAATCGACGAATTAGATCTAAAAGATGTCTTCCATAACATCATTATACCGTTTAATAGACACACATATATAATATATATATATATAATTAACACAGTGACATACAACAATACTAACAGGAGGGCGGACTGCACACATAAACACTTTTGCAATTCACGGATAATGTGCCATAATAAGATATCCCTATCGACAGTTGACCTTTTACCATCATCGCGACCACTACTTTGGTCTTATAATTAACTTAACTTTTCTACCACGTATATAGTGCGTGTGTGTGTGTCGCCGCCAGCTCCCTGTTAGATTATATCATCTCTAGGTGTCCAGCAGGTTGTATTATCTATTTAATATTTCAATCATTTAATAAATATTTATTTATATCGTTGTTAACCAAGAGTGTTATATATATATTGTAGTGCGACCCTTGATAGTTCCTCTAAGGGAATATAAATTAAATAGGAAATCTCAGTACCTAAGGTAAATATAGCCTAGCTAGCTATCCCCCGTTGGTCCCTTAGAATACTGTTGACGGGCATTTAGGCTCAACTCCTAAATAGCAACGTAACAATAATTTTCATCATTATGGTCGACTATCCTCTTTAGAGATGACCCGTCAAAATATGTCAAAGTCTATTTTACAAGAATGTCATATGGAATCTTGTAATACGATGTACGTGATCGATCGATCCTTTCTATTATTTCTTTTATAGATGGTTCATATTCTTCTTCGGGTACTGCATTGTAGTTAGTAAATTTGCGGTATGAATACTTTGGCCGGTTGAAACTAGCCCACAAACAAAGAGAAATGAAAAGAGTATTAAGAAAGGAAAAAAGAGAGTGGGAGAAACAACAGATCGAAACGATTGAGGAGTTTTTTAAAGATTCCAAAATGTTTTTCAGAAAAGCCAACAAAATAAGGTAATCATATAAACCAAAATCAGAATAACGAATTGATAATAGATCAACAATCCAATGCTGAAGAGCTCAAAAGAGTCTTCCAAGAAATACTAGATCAACCAGAAATCGAGGATCATGGACAGGATAATGCTGTATTCATAACGATAGAACAACACCAGGGAAGGGAGAAATTAAAGAAGCTATAAATATACTAAAGAATAACAAAGAAAAAATATTAGGTGAATACCATTGCGATTTTAAACCCTGAAAATCTAATATACCGTGTGTTTACGCTAAAATATTAATAGAAAAACATTACATCTATTATTTATAGATTTTAAGCAGGCGTAAAATTGTTTCAAGAAAATATCACTGTGGAAAANCCCTGAAAATCTAATATACCGTGTGTTTACGCTAAAACTATTAATAGAAAAACATTACATCTATTATTTATAGATTTTAAGCAGGCGTAAAATTGTTTCAAGAAAATATCACTGTGGAAAAACATAGAAAAATTCACTAGACCATCGAAATTAGTCAGAATAGTAAAAGCATGCATTCAGGATTCAAGGTGTAAAATCAAATTGGAAAATATTTATTCAGAAGATTTCGAGACAATAGTAGGTTAAAAAAAGGAAATGCCCTGTCACCGATGTTGTTTAACATTTTCCTAGAGGTTGTTAGGAAGATTTAAGAAACAGTGAATGGTGTTAGTTTCAATGGAAAAGTACACGCATTACTAGCCTACGCTGATGATGTAGTGTAACTTGGATCAAATGAAGAAGATATAAAAAACATTCCAAAGAAGCTGATAACTAGAGCTCAGAGTATGGGACTAATAATAAATGAAGGGAAAACTTAATATATGGCAGTTACAAGAGGTAACGAAGTAGACCAACATAGAACTTTGGAGATAGAAAATTATTGTTCTGAAAAAGTTTAAAGTTTTAAATATCTGGGAATCAATATAAATAGCTGCAATAATTACCATGAAGACATAAATCTAAGGATAAAAGCCGGAAACAGATGCTATTTCGCGCTACAAAAATCTTTCAGGTCCAAATTATTATAAAAAAAAAAAACAGATATACAACTATACAAGGTTTTAGTGAAACCGGTGATTCCATAGTCATGTGAAACGTGACCTATGTCAAAAAAGGACGAAAGTAAACTAGCAGTATTAAAGAAAAAATTCCTACGCCGCGTTTTTGGATCTAAAAAAAATATTTAAACAGTTGATTATGAAATAAGATTCCATAAGGAAATTGAAGACTCGCTAGGAGAAGAGGACATTATACAGACTCTCAAAGGAAGAAAAATGAGCTGGTTTGGACACGTACGGAGATCGAATAAATTAATAAAGGATGTGCTTAAATGGAAACCAAAAGGCAAGATACCATTGGGCAGACCGAAGAAAAGGTGGATAGATGAACCTAATCATTTTTTCCGGATACTTGAAGTTAATAACCCGGTAAAATTGGCAAATGACAGAAAGGAATGGAAAAGACTATGTGAAATAGTGAGTTGTAAAGTTATTTTTAACAAAGTTACATGGAAAGGTCCACATGTGACTGTGTTGGATGCCATGCGGTTAGACATATTCAAATCTTTAAAACCTCAACACCACTTCAAAGAGCATTTCGATTTTGGGATCTATACAATAATCTTAGCCTACCAAATATTAGAAGACAAGTCTGGACAATGAAAACTTCATAGCAGACAGAGAGTCTGAGATTTGTTATTGTGGCATTTCGAGTGAATAGAAAAAAAATAAACAAAGATAATAGTAGATTTGACCATTGTTCGTTTTTATCTCTAAAAATATACTTATATTCGGAATCATATAACTTGCACATGGACTTTCCGAATCACATGTACACCCGATTCCAAGAAGCATTTTATGAAAAAGAGTCGGCATGTCTGATGCTGACAAAGACAGAATTCAAGACAACTGCTCCAATCATTGTCATTGACTCTTCAAGACAAAACAAAATATTAAAAATACGCCAATAAATATTAGATTAGAATATAAATCCTATGAAAAATTTCCAACCAACACTACAGCATATTGCTTAATTGTACATGAAAAAATGCTTGAATATAATCCTATGACTAATTAAGTTAATAAAATATTATAATTTGTTTTTTTTTCTAAAAATAATGTAAAATTTTATATTTATGAAATACTAATAATTAGTCGAATATATATTTTGCTATTAAAGTATGTGTTATTTGTTTTAGTACCTTATCCTAATAATATTTCATTAATTTAGTACATAAATCGGAATCGGATAGTTCAAATAATAAATAATAATTTTTCAAGTAATCATTTTTGTTTATTGATAAAAATCAGTCTATTCAATCCAATAATTTGTTTTTCTAGCATTTTTTTTTTATTTTTTCATACAATATTGTGGTCAAAATGTTCAAATGGCATTCAAATAATACAAATTTATCAAAAAAAAATTCAACGAAAAAAAATTGTTTCACTATATAAATAATGTGAATATAAAAATTAATTAAATTTTTTTTTTATAATACTTCACACAAAATAATTTACTTTTTATATTCGATAACAAGGAATACTGTCTTAAATTGTATAACATCATATTTTTGTTTTTATAAATTTTAAAAATAAATTTCATCTCAAAGAGTTCTAATTGCTTTATAAAGGACGCAGATCATTCAATTTTTTCTTCATGTAGTCTTCTAATTGTGAATAATCCACTAATGTATTTTGTACGATTTCTTTAAGAATATGTGGCCATTCGTATTCTAAAAAGATCAATTTAGCCATGGCAAAACAAGTTGTGTTTATCAGTGAATTGAAATGTGTCAATCCTTTATGTCTCCAAATACATTCATCCTTATTAAAATAAATATAAAGTTTAATAGAGCAACCAGTGAAGGTTTTATGGAGGGGAAGGTCAGGGGTTCCCAGGCATTTTTACATTATATAATACATACAGTAAGACTCTGATTAGTATTTCAAGTAAATTTTATTCTTTAAGGCCTTTTACAGAAAAATGTTGAAAATTCACCACCACTCGAGTCAACTAATAATGTATGTTATAAAATTTTTTGATAATATGAATTACTTTCATTATTTCCAATAATTAGCCTAGATAATCTTTAATATTTTTTATTATCTTAATATTATAATAGTATTTAAATTTATATTAATGTATTGTTTTAAGTAAGTGAAAAAGGTATTGGGTATATTTACGATAAAATATCGTAGAAATAAGTTAAATGGAAAAGTAGTAATAAAAATTATATTGTTTTAATTGATTTAACAATAATAAATTTAATAATTTGAGTCATTAACCAATAAGAGTAAAGAAAATTTCCAATAACAGTAGATTAATTAAATTCAGGATTTGTAATAACAAAATTAAAACTAAACATATTTAAAAAAGTTAAAGAATATTATACTCACACGTTCGACTATTTATATTTCTTTATAATATAGAATATTATAATAAGCTACTGAGTTTTTATTAATAAGTTTTACAGTCAAGTCATGCAGAATTACTTAATTAAATACTAAAATAAAAAACTGGAACAAAACATTNAATTAAAAAATATTTAAAAAAGTTAAAGAATATTATACTCACACGTTCGACTATTTATATTTCTTTATAATATAGAATATTATAATAAGCTACTGAGTTTTTATTAATAAGTTTTACAGTCAAGTCATGCAGAATTACTTAATTAAATACTAAAATAAAAAACTGGAACAAAACATTTTGCTCTTGAAGTTTATTATGCGCATATATATATTTTACTCGAGGTCTACGGATTTTTCAAAATAGTATTAAAGTGACTAGATTTTGGTATTTCAAAACTTGAATTTTTAATAATATTTTCGATTTTAGTTCTAAAAAAATATCAATTCTAATAGTTCTGGGAAGTTAACCTTTGTACCTCACCAAAAGTTCTACTTCTAAAGTATTAGTTTTAATTTGTATTTATAATTTAATAACGTAACAAATTTACCTGAGCGTTACTATTTTTACGCCACTGGAGAGCTTCTTTACAAACGACACTCCTTAGCGCTGGATCCGATGACTGCAGCCATTTACATGCATTCTCTTCAGTACTATAATCAAGTTGTAATTTATTAAGTAAAGAAGTCAACAGTGATTCAGGTAGAGAGCACAAAACAAGATCACTTAATCCTTTGTAGGTATCTGATGATTTTATTATTTGTATATCATCAATCTACGAAAAAATGAAATAATTTTCTTTTATTTACTTAAAGTATTTTTAATTACATTAAACTATTAACTATTAAAAAATGTATATTTTTTAAGATTATATCCTAATTTTAAATAGTTGATAAAAACCAAAATGTTTGTGTTTGTAAATATTATTAAAAAATTATTTTTGAATAAAATTAAAACTTTTTCATTGAAAATATTTTATTTTTATTCATCGATTTCTCTTATTAAATTACATTATAATATAATATTATCTAGTATTAAGTTATTAATCTTTTGAGTAATAGTGTGCCCCTAAACAATCGGTACTGAGGTAGTGCTTGACGCACACTGCCTCAGGTTCGAAACTCGGTCACTGGCGGCTTCATTTGCCGAGCGGTAGATCAGTTCGTTAATTGGAATCGCTATTCCTCTCTAAGGCGATAGACTAACCACCCGTTCTGGAGTACCATAGGTTAAGAAAACCTCCTATTTGGGGGAACCGCTATGGCCCCTAATGAACTTAAAAAAGCGATAAAATAAAACTTATTTATCTTATATTACTGATTATAATATTTGACAATATTATTCTCCAAAATTTAAAACATAATAAGATATGATGTAAGATAATATCTATAATAATATTTAGAGTACCTCTAAGTCATTAATATATTTCAAACCCCAATGCGATAGCCTGTATATTGCATAAGGTTGCCAATCTTTTCTTGTAATTGGATTTCCATCTTCGTGTATACTTAAAGATACTATACCCTGCAAATCTGCCAATGCATTTAACTGACCAAGACAATAAATATTTGTATCTCGGAAAAAATACTGTTCAGCATTAGGAAAACGATTTTTAATTTTTGAAAATATTGGTACAAGTGAGTTAAAAATAACGTAGTTAAATTTAATTGTAGTGACATCACTAGATTTTGACTGATTCCATGGTTTATCAATATACCGTAAACTACTTTGACCATAAACATTTAAAAATTTTCCTGTTATTTCAACCAAATAATCACCTCCTAAATATACAAAAATAATGCAATGTAACAGTATAGTATTATGAACACAATGGGCCGGATTAAGGTAGGCTAAGGAGGAGATCAATAATACTGGGACTCGTAAAACTAAGGGGTTTATTTTGAATTATACTAATTTGTCAAGATATACTTTAAATAAAAATTACGTGTTTTTTTTTGTTTATCATTTTTGCATAAAAGCAAAATGTTACGATGAGACAGGTTGACACCCTTAAGTTTTAATATAATCTTTAAAAGAAAGTATTTATTCAACATATAAAAATTTGATATTATGAGTCCAATCGATAAATAGCTCATTAAATAATATTAATTATATTTCAGGATTATTAATTCGTGTAGCGTAAAACGTGGAGCAAGTTGACATACCTTAGCTTAACTTGGGTTATTTTATAAAATGTATTTTATATATGTACACATCAATTAAAAGCGTTGTATGTATTATACAATTGTTTAATTAATCTACTGAGTATAATATTTTTAAATACTAAAAGGGAAAATCGATTAGATAACTCCTTAGGTATATATATACAATGTATAATATACATTGTATATATATATATAAATTTGATGTCTGGTAAGATGTATATTAGGGTGGTCATTATTTGACCAACTTTAAAAAATTGTATGGACTAACATTTCATACCATAGGAAAATTGTAAAAAAAATCAAAATTTAACAAACTTCAAACTCCTGTAAACGTAACTACTAAATTAAAATAATCTTCAAATCTTAAAAAGAATTAATTTTTAAAATATTTTTTGCGATTGCAAAAAATAATATAAAACATATTTTAAATAGTTCTATATTGTAAAAATTGATTAAAAAAAAAAAGTATAAAATATTATGTAAATCATAAGTTATTAGAAATGTCAATTAGATCTGTTCCACTCTGTATATGGAAATTATATCACAAACTATGAAAAAACCGTTTCCCATTTTACTTTTACTCAAAAATCTTCCCTAATACTCTTATAATTTGAATAAGACTTAAAATTTCAAATACACTGTATTTATGATATTTTTTTTACCTACTGTAATATAACATATTTTTTTTTTATTCATAAAAAATCTTATTATAGTAAAATCTTGTGTCGTAAATAAATTACTATATCGTTCTTGTGAAAAATTGATAAGTGCGATTTAAATTATTTTCGAAAATAAAGTTTTTTGGTTAATATATTCCAAAATATTTCCATAAAAAGTTCGCAAACATAATTATACATTTTTAAAATCCAAGATGAGCATCTTGCTCCAATCGTCAACTTGCCTCGTTCTTCCCTATTTTTTTGAAATGAACGCTATCTCAAGTTATCACCACGGAGTCTATATAATTCTTAATCCAGTCCTCTATATACATTCTATTGTAAGTTAAAAGTTAAAACAAAGTAAAAACATTATAATTAAAATAAAAAATATACAAAATACCTTGTTCTTTATTTTTATCTTTACGATTAGAGTTTGATCCCAGCTGTTTTGAATGTGATGTGGTTGGTCTAAAATCTTTTTCTTGTTTATCACATATAATAGGTGCTGTCATTCTAGGATTTGCACTTTTTATAGGTCTAATGAGTTTTTTAGGTTGTTTTAATAAACTTTTTTGTTTGGATGATGCAGAACTACTACTACAATCGGTTTCGTCACTACTTGAAGATGCTTCAGCATTACCTTGACTTAATATATTTTGTTTACTCTGAATATTTTGATCAGGCTGGCATATTTCCTGAATACTGTTATCATTTCGATGAAAAACAGTCATTTGGCGTGAATTAGGACTTTGATTAAGGTATTGATTTAATATAGGCGGTAATCGAGTTACGGGGACCAATTCATTTTTGTTATTCACGGGACGCTGGCATAATTTTTTTTCAACAAATACTCGATTTTTGTTTAAAAAATACATTTTTTTCTTACGACGATCTGCTACCGATATTTCGGTATTATTTTGAGACGTGTTTTTACATAATACTGAATCACTTTTGGTGCCTAAAAGATTAAAAAAAACAATGATAGGATACTCATTATCTCGAACACTATTAAATATTTCCAACTTTTGTAAATGAAAATATTGTTTAAATCAAAACATTCTACAATAATATGTAGTTAAATAATTTTTTTTCAAAATCTTTTTACTTATTATTTTTTTATCCGATCAACCATTTGTATTTTAAAATTGATAACAGATTTAATTTTAAAATAGAAATTTATCATTAATTTAGTTTTCATAATACCAAACACAACAATAATCTATTTTAATGTGCCATGAATTATTATAGTTATTTATTCTTATTATCGTAAGTGACAGATATAATTATAAAAATTTTCAATAAAAACTAGTTTATATAGCATTACGAAGAAATAATTACTACTGTTTGCTAAACAGGAAATTATCATTTGTAAATTGTTCAAAATCTCTAATCTTTAAGGAGCAATTGTTTGTCAAATATAGTTTTTATACATTGTTATGTTTTTATCGTTGTGTCACTTGTACAGTAAACATTATTTTTTATTTGACAAAACTTATTTCGATTATAATTTTTAATTTGCTTAAAATAAATTGTTTGATGAAATATTTATTATTTTTATAAAATGTATAAACCATTAATCATACAAAATAAGTTATATATTTTATGAGAACATTTTAATTCGTGTGGTTATTCTCAATAATCAAACATGTATAAATAATTAAGAGTTAATCACATTTAATATTACTAATTCATCTATTTAAATCGACTTAAATTGTATAAGTTCGCAATAAAGTAAGGACACTAACTTCGACTTTAATGTAAATTTATTACCATCTTCAGTCTCTGTGGAACTTCTAAGATCTTTTAATGAAGATGCTAAATTCGGATGGGTAATTTGATATGAACTCATATGTTCCCAATTAGCTTTAGCATTGTATATAACGTGTTCACGACCATTTTTTCCTGGTTCAGATATAGAATTAGTTGATACACATTTAAGACTTTCGCGAGTTTCTTTCCATATAGTTGCAGCTCGCCTCATTTGGTCGGATATTTTGAAGCGATTAAACGCTTGAAGTTGAGGAAGGTGCGATATTACAAATGAAATACATACTTCAGTGTTCGACACTGGATTGTTGTCAATAGCTAATTCTTGAAGTTTATTTAAATTCACAATACTTGGCAAATCTTCTATACTGTAGGATAAATAATATTCAACATATTTGATTAGAGATCGTTCGAGTGGTTCAATTTATTTAAAATCGTATTCCAAATATTTGTTAAGTAAAATTAGTTTTATAAAGAATGCAAAAAGTAATTAAGTAGTGCAACTACTAAACAGATCCTTACTGTATTTAACATTTAACCTGGAAATTATATTTTCTAAAAACTTATTATAAAATTAAGTGCAATGTCAATAATTTAATGGCTAATTTTAATTTCTTCATTTTATACCGAGTTTTAGGCTCAAGCTTAGTTAAAGAAAATACATTGAGTCCTTTGAGCTAATGTTGTACACTTAAAACATTTTGAACTTTAATCAACGATGACTTGTGTCTATGTGTGATGCTACAGTCTTACATAGACACATAACAATACAAAAAATGTATTATAGAAATGCATTGTATAAATATTTTGTATTTATTTCTGAGTAAAAAAATATATATTTTTATGTTTTGAGTGACAAAAGTATATGACTTTTAGTTATTTATTTAATAAAAGTTATAAAAATTTCATAACTTATTCAAGTTACAATATTTAATTTTGTAACTGTTCAAAAATATATGCTCATATAATATTAAGTTCAATTTTTTTTTAGGAAGAAACCAATAAATTTAAACTTTATTTTTTAATAATTGTACACAAAATTTTATTATTATTAATTAATTGTTAAGATATTTACGTGTTTAGTTCATTGTTGCTAAGAAAGAGTTTTGTTAGTTGAGGCGTTTCTGCAAATCCAAGTAAACATTTTATTTTATTTCTCCGAAGATTAAATTCTCTCAGTGATTTTAAGCCAACTAAATCTAATGAACCAATCGCTTTTATTTGATTTCCTGCTAAATTAAGCACTTTTAATTCCCCTTGATTTTGCAAACCTCCAATTTGGGTTAATTGATTTCCATGTAAATCGAGTACTTCCAATCTCTGCAGTGATTTCAATCCTTCTATCCTTTTGATTCTAATTATATTAAAATTTTAACTTAATTTACATTATTAACATAATGATTAAAAATTATATATATATTTTTAGCTTGTATAAATTAATGTTTACAATTTTTTTTGTTACATAGTTATAAAATTATGATGATAATATATTTGTGTGCAATCAATATATAAATAATAATATACATCTGTAATTCGTATCCAAAAGCTTTTATGTCACACAAATTAAATTTTATAATTTGTATAGAGAAAGTTGTTATCTGTCATTTGATAACAAATGAAAAAAATAAGTAGTAAGATAAAAACTTACGAATAAATTTTATCAGGAAGGTTTGTTTTTTGCAAATTTCAAATTTCATAAAACAATATTGGAAATTTCAATTTGTTTTGGCTATCCTGAAAATTGGTAAAAGTGACGATCATCACTTTTAGAAAATTACCATAGATATACAAAATATATTTCTATATACAAATTACTTTATTTTTTAGAGGACTAGAGAATTTGTTGAGTTTGCCTGATTTACACCAACGATATACAATAAATGCAGTTTACAATATATTATAAAACAATTTAATATCACTTTACAATGAAATTTAATTCTAAACGTTAAATGTTTAGTTCAACCTTAGTCTTGTCAAGTATATAATAAAGGATAAAATGTTACGTACCTATTTTTTCCTAACAAAAGTACACGTAAGTTATTCAGATTATCAAGATTTGTAATTCTTTCCACTTGATTTCCATAAATGTCTAAAAAAACTAGCCTAGAAAGGTTAGGGTTTGAAATACCATCTAACTTTGTTAGTAAATTGTGTTGCATTGATAGAAGTCTTAATCGAGATTCACCCGTTATCACCGGAACGGTCATTAATCCTCTTCTAATCAATAAGATAAACTCTTAAGAATTATTTGTTTAGTTTATGATTATGTATGTAATATTTTAAATTTAAATACCTGTCTAGACTCATTCTTTCAGGATTCTGATTCTTAACACTTTGAGACCTCGTTGCTTGTATTTTGCCATCACTTAAAGTTTGCAAAGACACTACATTGGAAGTACTCATATTTTCAGACAGACTGAGATAAATAATAAATTAATTTTGAAATTTTACAATATCTAAGACTAAAAAAAATTGTTAGTATCAATACTTTTCAAATTTATTTATTTTCTTATGAAATTGAGGATGTAATGCGGCTGGTAGTGTTGGAACATAAGTGTATGTATCTTTATGCAGTGAATCAGTGAAGTTAATATCTATATGTTCTGTATTTTTTCCAAATACGTAGAATTCTGTAAGTTCGTGCTAAATTTAATATGAATATAATCGTTATAAAAAATATTTATGATACTTTATTGATCGTAAATCAAATTGATACTTTTATAGAACAATAAAACTATGATTTATATTTCTTGTGTTAATAATAATAATGCTCCATTTACCTCTGAAAACTCGTTATTCGACGACATTAGTGAATGATTTGCATGTTTGTCGTCATAGAGAACTAGCGTTTGTGTGTAATATTTTCGATTTATATAAACTGTTCAACATAGAAACGTCAATGATCACGCTATATGTTAGCTCAACTTTTGCTTTTTTTTGTGATATTGTTAGTTTTACTAAATACAACTAACCGTTTTTACATTTTTTAATAGCATTATGTTCATAATTTTTTAAAACGTTTCTGAATAATAATCTAATTATAAAAATATGATAAATTAATTAATTTAAAAATATTAATACATTATTAACTTCTAAGATTTTTATAGTTACGAATTTAGCTTTTATTGATAAAACTTTTTTATGGTTTTATTGGTGACTAGGTAGTTGGAAGTAATTGATAATTGATGTTTTGTCTTTTTTTACTATTTAAATGATGAGATAAAAGAAAACAAGTTAATATTGTTTTGATAGCCATTAAAATATATTATTTTCTTCGATCTGATTTATAAACTTATAGAGGGGAGATATTTTAAACTAAAGTATATACATAATTTGAGATTATGTTTATGTGGGCGTTTAAGCTTGAGAAAAAAAACGCTTCGATGCAAATCTGTAGATAGCCTTTAATTTTAAGAAATTGATGGAGTATTCCAAAAGTAAAAATAACTCCTATTTTTTGTTTTGGTTCGTTAATTTTATTAAAGATATGGCAGTTTTAACTACCAAAATAACATTGATTTTTTACAAGAAAATTACAAATTTTTTTTAACTTATAGTATATAATGTAAGCTATAATTCAATATATATTTAACATCTGTAGAAATTGTTTAATTTTAAGAAATTGGTAATTATTCCAAAAGCAAAAATAACTCCTATTTTATAGTGCGTACCATAAGCTCTAATTTAAAATATGTTAAAGAACGCAGTATTTCCGGAAAATTTTCAAATATTAAGTTGAAAAATTTGATTTTTGTAAAAAAGTTTCTATTTTGAATACTCTCTGAGAGAAGGTTAAGTGTCAGATTTTCAAAAAAATTATATCAAATAAAAGGGAATTATCTAAGATCTTAATATAAAAAAAAAAAATTATTTTGATTTGTTCATTTTTCAATAAGTTATTTAATTTTTAGAAAAAAAAGTGAATTAATGTCGAAATTTACCACCGAATTTAAAAATCGTAATTTTTTGGATATTTCCACCATTTACGAGGATTAAGGGAAAATTTTTCAATTTTTGAGGATAATGTCTTCAAATAGATACGATTTGTAATTTTTTGACGTATCTTTGAAAAAAATCGGTCCAGCGAGATCTAAAAAAAAGTAGTAATAGACACAAAAAACTAAAAATAAAAAAAAATATGCAAATCAAATACTCCCGCATACCAACTAGATAACACTATCTTTCTAAGTTATATGATACTTAATGCATTAACAAATTAATCAATTAATTTAAAGCAAAGATGAATAAAAAAAAGTTCATTTTTTTTTTAAATAATATATTTTTTTTTTATTTTAGACTAGAACAGTGTATAAAATAAATAATTAATGTATTAAAAATAACTAATTATTAATAATTTTTTTTTTTTTTGGTTTTTTATATTTAGAGTATCAAGCAATTATAGAAAAATTAATAAAATAAATCTACTCATAAATAAATGCCAAGATATATATAATTAATCAAACTTCATGAGCGCTCTACGCATATCATCAACTGACCTTTCGACAATTAAATTTTTGTCGTCAAAGAAGCAAAGAAAATTTTCCACGTAGGGCTTTTAACCAAAAAGTTTGCGTTTCCAACTAAAAAAAGACTAAACTTTGCACGCGTAAGTGCCACATTTAGCCATCGAACACAGTTCAGAAACCCTACGACGTTTCTCTCGTTCGAGTGGACACACGATATAACAATATACTCTTTTTCATGGTCTTGAAAAGCGTCTACACTACTGACTTCCACCCCTTCGTTCTTGTTTAAAATTTGTTTCAAAAGTGATCGTTGTCCTTCATATAGAGTTATAACACCAATTTGATTTGGAGCAGCTCCTTTGTTAAGGCGTTTTGCTACTAGTTGTTCAACAACTTTCGCCTCTCCATAGTTCAAGAAAGACGTATCCGATCGCAATTTTTGTTCGTTGGCATCGGACGAGTAAAATACCATCGGCACATTTGGTTTAGGCCTCGTGAAATCAATCGATCCAGTTCGGTCGTTACAAATTACGCCGTTCCTAATCGTAATCTCATACATAGTTTGTGAAGCGTACTCGCTGATTTCGGGGTGCATTCTGTATTGTACAGTTAAACAAACTGGTTGTAGGCAAGCAGCAATTAATCTCTCGAACAGGGAACGATGTAGACCTCCGTTTATAGTGTCCGGACACATAACTGACAGTGGTCACCTATAAACACCACTTTTTTGGCTCCGTGGGTGATTTGAATGATACATTCCTGTTCTAAGCCTTGAGCGCATTCATCCACGACCACCGAAGAAAAGTTTACTTTCTTTAAACGGTTATCGCCGGCGCCGGAGCAAGTTGTGCACACGACTCGACAATTCGCTAAACAGTCGATTTCCGCATTTCTTCTCAGATAACTGTAGTCCTTTCTCTCTTTTGGTTTCAACTCGGCACCTTGATCAATTAACCCTTGTAAAGTTTTAAATTCTGAATGACTCACAAGCTTTTTTATTTGTTCACTAAGATATATATTTGAAATTGTAACGTCACAAATTCAAAGGTNCTATATATATATGTATATTTGAAATTGTAACGTCACAAATTCAAAGGTGGACCGTTTATGATTTTTTGTTATGTCTACTTATTTATTTTATCGCGCAAAAGAACCTTTTTCTGACACAGGGGTGTCAACCACTCATTATTTTACCGCTGACCGCTAGATAAGGCGATAAAAGAGAAATATAATTAAAATCGAATTGTTTATCAGTATTGATCCCTTCCAAAAAGACTGGCCGTTATCGATTTGAAATTGCCGTTATTTCGGTGTTGACTCTTCTCTATTCTTTCTTCTGTCGTTGGCCGTGCTAGGGTGCACACATTTGTTGTTTTATTGACATATTTTTCAATGATGGAGTAGAGCCGCCAACGGCGAACGGCCAGATCTTTTCGGCGAAGCATCCAGACTATCGGAAGGCTCTCTTCGGAGTCCAGGTATCGTTTTCTTTTTTATATTATATTTATGTAATGATCTATATTTTATTAATTAATTAATTTCATTTTTATTTTATCGTAAATTAACTTAATTTTGTTTATGTGTGGGGAGCACGTGTTTCCCTTTTCTTCTAGCCAACGCTAAGGAGCGAGTGTCCAGACCGCTCCTGGTGTTCTTCATTAATTTCCGATAACATTAACGGATGTGTTCAAATACCGTCCATGATGTTTGTAATATTATTTGTTTGTTTTGTTTAAATATTTTATTTTATTTGTAGACATGGTTTTTGATGCATTCGCATTTTTGTCCATGTTTAACTTAATTTTCTTTTTTTTAACAATTAAATTAAATTTCCTTATTAATTTCAACTGTAATATTTATTTTATTGCGCGAGTAACTTAATTACTCACGTGTATTTATCCCTATTCCTTAATCTAGACACAGGCTACGATATGTTTTACATATCAACCACAAACAACTTTAATTGTCATAATTGTGTTTAATAAACCATGAGGTATTATAGTAATTTATACATATAACGACATATTAACTTAGATTATAATTTTAATTAACTTAAAATTAAATTCCACCTATGGTCCGGTAATCATATCTGATAGATGTGACACCTCGCCTAGGTGGTGGCGACCCTTGCTACTATAGCTAGTCGTTATGCAAGTGGCAAACCACGTTGTTGTTACAGGCTGAAATAATATAAAAGCCCACTTGCAAAATATAACTTTTAAAGGTCTCTTCCGTCTTTTTGAAAAATCAAACGACATCGATGCCTGTTTTAGCCACGAATCTTGCCAAGTTATCTAAAGCGTTGTTTGACGGTGTACAAACTAATACGGTTCCGGACTTGGACAGATTGTATACAATAGTCGCACTAGTAACCGTTTTTCTAGTACCAGGAGGCCCTTGGATTAGAGAAACTGGCGTACGTAGGGCATGCCTCACAGCAGACAGCTGTGACTCATTCAAACCAGGTAAATTGGAAGCTAATAGGTTATCTGTCAGATTTTCGTCATGTTCGAGTGAATATTGTTGTTGACGTCCGAGCAACATTGATCTTACTTCAGGTGAAACACACTCGTACTTGTAAGAAATAGTAGCAAGCACCGCTTCCATCCGAGTGTAAGGGGTTTTATCAAATAACTTTTTTAAAGCTGCCTGTGTCCCAATTGGCAAGTCCATTGAACAATTTACTTCAACATCAACAACGCTCATGAACTGGTAACAATTTCTTTCATGGCGTTGGTCATTTTTGGAATTGAATTCCATAAGTCTTCGTCAACTGCAAATACATTATTTTTACTATTGATCATATGAAAACGTACTTTTGTTTTTTTATTGTAGTTTTGAGAGTTAATGATTTCGCATTCAAACGAATATTTTTCACCCAGTTTTAAATTGTACGAGCATTCAGCACTTATTAATAGCTGGAAAAAATACCCACATCGTTTTGACGAAGAAAATACACAGCGAATATTTGTTGGAGGGACAGTTGAATGTGAAAAACGTGGTGGTGGTAGTTTATCATCTTCAGTGTTCAGTTCATTAATTTTTATGACTTTTGTTTCCGTTGTCTCAAAAAATCTACGGTAATCAATAATTTTCAACAGTGTTATGACGATAGCACAATACATTGCCATTCTCCTGATGAAGTCATTTTCTATAATAAAATAAATGCCACAAAAAAATACGAGATGGTAAATTTTCCACACGTCCTTTGACTGCATAGTGGTAGCAAACGATGTTCTTAATCATATTTAATAAAAAAAAAAAAAAATTAAGCACTCAGTATGAAGTTAGAATAATGAAAAGTTTTCACGTTTTTATTTAATCTAAAAAAGACTAAATTATGAAAGTGCTTCACTCTTTTTATATGGAAAATTTTGTCTCATAGTGGCCAGCAAAAAAATAAAAATGTTTTCTTTTTGGCCAATATCATTTTTTTAAGGAACCAAAAAAGTGTTCTAAAATAACAACCAAGTTAACAAAATAATGTTGATTTATTTAATTATTTATTTTACAACAATCATACAGTTTGATCGAGGCTTTAAATAACGCAGTACTAATCTAAACTTTGAGTAAAACAAACTATTCGAATTATAAAATATTCAATACAATAATTTATACTATTTAGTTTTAGTATAATAAACACCTACTAAAGAATATTTGTTTATTTCATGGTAATATAAATTCCAATATATTTAAGGGAATTTTTCAAATATTTTACACTTTTTATTACATTTCATTGATATTTTCCTATAAAAAAACTGACAAATATTTAAATTAAATCATTGAAGTTTAAACACTTGTCAGTTTTTTTTATAGGAAAATATCTATAAAATGTAAACGTTATTATTTCTGCTTAAGATCTAAATAGAATATCATAAATATCGCCAGTTATTAATAGCTCATGGATTTTTGGTGCTCCACGTATATCTTCCGTGCAGTACCTGACACTAGTTGATTTTTAAAGGTGATTCGAGAAAAGTCCAGGCAATTTAATTATATTATTAAAAAACTGATTAAATTTCACACAAAGCTGTATTAATTACTAAGTGGAGAAATACGGTCGTCACCCTCAATAAGCCGAGTTGGTATGTAGGTGTGTATGATAGTAAATGTATATATGCTCCTACCAGGCGACAATTTGTTGTTATAAGACTTATTAATAGGTTCAATGTATGCTTTTTGATATTATGTAGCGACATCTAGCGGTATGAAAAAAGTGTTATACAGTATAATTAATTGATAACTGAAATATAATAATGATAAGAAGTTGGTGGATCAAAAATTGGTAGCTTCACACTAGTGATTTTATAAGAGGTTCCAAAATTGTTAATTTTATATATTTTGTGATTCTAAACGAGTTAATTTATATAATATTATAAAACTGAAATCATATTTGTTTATTTAGTTTAAAATATTATATATAGTTGCAATTACATCTCTTCAACCTTTTTAATTTAATTACCTCTCTAAAGAATTATTTGAATCTCATAAAGAGTATGACAAATATAAATTCTGAAAATGCAATGATATTGATAACTTGATTGCAACTTGTTTGTTCTAATTGACTTAAAATTAATTCTTTAAAATTTGATCTAAAGAACTTGTGTAATAACCATAGACCAAGTAAATGGTCTATAATATTAGCTGATAATTTTTACTACTATCTATTATTCAAAATAATGTAATCTAACTGATAATTGGTGAAAAATATTGATATTAAAATTCATAATAATTTGCGATATAAAACAGAATTGATATAGTATAGTTATCATAACCATAGCCGGTACTTATTTTCTAAGGAAGTTGTTTATTTAATTTATTGTTGACAATATTTTGTAAATATTTCTTTAAAAGAAACTATACTTTTAAAATGTTTTTAAAATTCTACCAATTAAACAGTGTCCGAAATTGTATTCAAATTCCGATCAATAATTATGCAACAGTTGGTAAGTTTTTTTTTTAATTTAAGTAATGTATGTAATTTAATTATGTTTTTTTTAATTACTCTTAAAATTCAATTCATTATCACTTTTTCAGGGATTATGTCATTGGGTAAATCCAAAAAAAAATTGGGTAAAGGTGGTCCCGTTTCAGAAAAAACAGAAATTCCAGTCGAAACAGATGCTAAAAAATTAATCAAATATGTTTGTGGAAGTAATATTTTAAAAGAAGGAGGAGAAGATATAAAATTAAAACCAGATTCTGAGTATCCAGAATGGTTATGGAAACTTAACATAAGTAATTAATGTTACATTTTTTTATTAAGTATTTTTTTTATATCAATAAAACACTTTATTAAGATTTTATAAATATTGTTAAAAAGAATTTCTTTAGTTTTTAAACGCTTATAAAAATTTTGTTGCTTTGACTATATCAAATATTTTTCACATATCATTTTTAAGATACTGTGAATAATTTAAATATATTTATTCTGATAAAACTGATGAAACTTTCTTTTCAAAAAAGACTGTATTTTTATTATATTATTATAGTGCTTTAATTTAAATTATTAAAACATTTTTTTTAATAGTCTTCACAAAAATGGTTATATAAAATTTCTGTTTTATGTTTTATATTTTTACTAATGAAGTCTATTATTTATAGTAAATTATTTTGAGCGATACAAAATTCATGATAGTTTGATTATCTAAAATTTAGATTCTAAATGAATAGTCTTCATTTTAATCATTAAAAAAATATCAGTGTATGATATATTTTTCTTAAATCACTGAATAGAAATAATTTTTTCCAGCTGGACCTGTGCCTCTTGAAGAATTGGATCCTAATACAAAACAATATTGGTTAAGGATTCGTAAACTCGGAATGAGGAGAAACAACCTATTAAATAAGTTAAAACGTTTTTAAAGATGTTTTAAGTTAAATAGTTTTAATATTATTATTTTATGTCTTAATTTGTATTTATTTATATAAAATAATACATTAATTATCATATTAAATAATTTAATACCTTAATTATTAAGGTATTATAAGAATTGATATTTAAGCTAATAATCAATTTTATAATTGTTAAAAAAAAATTTTAATTATTATTTAAAACAAAATCTGAAGTAAAAAACAAAAATATTGTACGAAATTCAGAATTTATTAATAATAATTATAAAAAGTGAAGAAAACTAAAATTAAAAAAAAATTGAAAGCAAATCTATGTTAGGAACTATCTACATGATTATAATTGAAAAATATATTATTAAATATTGATATTGAAATTTGAAAAAAGAATGAATATCATATTTACAATTCGAGTGAAATTCAAATTTTAAAAACATTTTCTTTAGCAGAATAATGTAATAAAAAAAAGTTGATCAAGTTCAAAAAAAGATATTTGATAATATAATTTTTTTACATTTATTCATAATTTCTTAAAATGTATTGGACAAATGTATTTATCAAAATAAGTAATAAATACATAAAATAAATTAATATTACTAAAAACAGTACAGAATTTTTTGAGCATTTTTATTTTAAAATTATAAAGTAAATTTATATTGATAGATGGCGTTGTATATAACTAAATAAACCTTGAAATAATACTATTAGTAATGTTAATAGGGTGCAATTAGGCGAGGAATTTAGTCTTCCAAAAAATTGTATTTAATGTATATAAAAATATTTTTTGGATAAAACTGTTTAGGCCCTCCCAAAAACATTGTTCATGTTGTGCCAATGATTATGAATTTTTAAATAAGAAGAATTAGTTTTACCAACCATGTTTAAGCTTCAATTATTAATCTAAAAAAGGTGTGAAATTTGTATAATCACTTGTTGGTCAATAATTCGTCCTATCTTTTCAGAGTCTTAAAATATACAGATTTTATCAACAAATACGTATAATTTTGAAAGCTTTACCTAAAAAATTTTTAGCTATGATAGCACGTATAAACTGATCATTATTATAAATAAAGGAACGTATTTATATAAATTTACAAAAAAATATTTTAGTTTGAAGGGCCGTCCAAATTTATGTAACTTCGTTATAGAATTATTTAGTAGTAAAAAAATATGTTTTATTTTAGGGTAATAAACCCCTCTAATCCTCCGAATTTATATCTTCCATTATAGCACATTACTATGTTTTTAAGTCAATCAATAAAAATTTGTACTGACTGATTATGTGTGCGGAATAATTTATCTAAATTTATAAATGGTTATCAACCAGTTCCTTTATTATAAATATAAATTTTTTGATACTTACTATTAAAATCAAAAATTACAATTTTCTCAAAAATGTTTTTATCTTGAAAAATCATTGTTCTTATAAGGTAATTTCGTTATTAAACTTAAGAAAATTTTAAAAAGATTAGACAAGCGAAAATATCTTTTATATTATGTTATTAAAATTACATTTTATCCAATTAGTTAGTCTGTGATTATTATATCGCTTGAAAATGAAAAAGTTTTAACGAAAATAGATCGTTTTTAGTACGCTATTTTTTAATGTATCTAACGAAAAAAAATACATTAAAATGTTTTCATTCTTAGACACTACATATTTTTATGACTCAAATTCTTAACATGAATAGAAAACAATAACTATCGTTTTACATATATTTAATGTATATTCCATGCTGTATAGATTACAGAAAACAATTCTGTTCTTTTATAGAGATAATATGTGTTGTATTTTCAGTGAAGAAAACCTGTTAAATGAAAAAAAGTACATCGGTTTAGTTTCTAATAGAATAGATATTGTAAAATTTTTGTTTTATGATACAATGATATAATTTTTTAAATCTAAAAAAACTTAAGTTGCTCGTGGACACGATAAAAAAAGGATTGAATTTAATGTTTTATTATTACGGTTAACCCTATTTAAATAGGGTTAACCTAAACTTACGTTTTATCATTACTATTCATATTTATCTACAATGAAATAAAACCCTTTCGAAATAATTTAAAACAAATCAAGTTTTAATGTACTCATACTAGTAAGTTGTAATGTAATCGGTTCCACATTTTTCAAACATAAAATAATAATATAGATAAAGTGGACATGATAGTTAATTGCATTATAAGGAAAGAAATATAAATTAAATTCGATGATTCACAATTCACTATAATTTATATTCACATTTCGGTAGGACTTAAATTAAGTAACATTGTTTAATTTATTGGATATTGAAACTATTATACAAAAAAAATTTAACTTTGATTACGCTTTCATTTGAAAAATATTTCAATAAATTAAAAAAAAAAATGTTTCAGTAATAATTATATAACCAATTGTACCACTTATTGGAAAAAAAACTCAAATTCAAATTTTGTCTTTTTGTAGAAAACTTATAAAATCATTTTTTAATATAGTAATTATTGTAAATTATTTAATTAATCATTTCCCTTTTATATTAAAATTAAATAAATTTATTTAACTTATTATTATAACCTAAGTTATAATTATTTTATTTTAAAAATCCATTTACATTATCTTCAAAACTAATTCAAATTTTTATAACTCCATCGATTAACTTTTTATAAATTAAGTTTACTATAAATAAAATAAATATGGTAATTTATAAAATGTAAAAGTGACATTGATGGTGTGATTTATTATAATATTCCAAGATAAATAGTGATTTAATTTGATTTTTCACATTGATTTAACTCTTAAAGGCATTAAAGTACAAGTTTTACATTTATACAAGTTATTTAGATTTTATACCCAATTAATTGTTAAGATTTAATAAATTAAAACTGACATGTTCTCATTATTTCAAATTGAAAAACTTTTACGAGCGTAATTTGAACAATATATTTGAGAATCTAATTTTTATTAATTAATAAATTAATTTTTAATTCAATTTCTCCTCTACTTATAAATATTTCTACATAAATTTACATATAATTTTTATTTGAAAGAGGTAGCGACAAAATAAAGTATCTAATAATTCACTAAACTCTCCTTCAGATTTTTTTTAAGAACACTTTTTCTTAGTGCCTTTTTTTATTAATATAATATTTTCCTCCCGTCCAAGTTTAAAATTGAATTTTTTTATAAATTTACTGAAAATTATTTTTTTTTTGTGTGAATGATATTTATGAATAGTAACTAACTAATTTTCAAATTAAAATTTAAAACACTATGACATATAAGAACAGATTTATTGGTAGCATTGGTTTGATACCTATGCCTTTTAAGCATAGGTATCAAACCAATCCCACTAGATCCAATTTAATTATAAATATTTATTTTATTTAAATATTAATTAACAGATTCCAAAAATATGATTAGTCAAGTTTATAATTTATTAATACTTAAGTTTATAATAAATTAAATTATTATATGAAATTTTTTATTAGGAGCTCAATATAGTCTGCCGTTAATTTAAACATAATCAAATGCGTATTTACGAGAGAATCAAATAGGGAAATTCTCCCTAACCTTATTATCAACGTTTGTATAAATGTTTATACATTTATATCAAACATAATTGTTAGAATTTTTCACTATAAATTAAAGGCTGCATCCCGACTTTAAAATTTTGGATACATCATTATTCAAATGACTCACAGTATTCGTTTAATAGAGTTATTACCCAGATGATAAGTCACGATATAGCATCACGCCAAATTAATTTGTATATGAGCAAAATGTGACCTGTTTTTCTGATCCACGTATGCATAATATAATATTAAAAACGGAAATTATTCTTCGTGACCAGTAAACGGTGACGTCACTTAAATATCTACCCACTTTATTAACGCGCTAACGGCACATTGTTTTTTTACTCTAAGGGAATTATTAGATGATGTTTGTCGATATAAATAATCTTTGTTTTTAAGCTTTAATTTTTAATTACAATGAATTTTTTTAAAGATGGATAACTTAAGTAAAACAAAATATTGCCTAAAAATATAGAATATTATTCTAGAAAAAAATATATTTAAAAAATGGTATTGTAATTTTATCATATTTATTATGCATTCGTTGCTCTTTGTTATACTACTTAACATATTTTTATTTCTGTAATTTGTAACGCTAATTAATACTCTATCAACTAATTATTAAGCTATAATTATATATGATAAAAGCTATAAAAAAAAAAATGTCTCCGAGTTCTTACATTAAAAAAAAACTGTAGCACGGTATGAATGTGGTATAGTTGAAACAAGTATAAATGATATCCGACAGTAATTGAAATCACTATAAATCAAGAAACGCTTCGATGCAAATCTATACATAGTTTAATTTAAAAAAAAAATTGGTATATTATTTTAAAAGCAACACCAACTCCTATTCCCTTAATTATATCTTGATTAGTAGTTCTTTGATTTGTAATATATAAATTAATATATAAATAAATTCTTAATAATTTATAGTTTTAATTATAGCAATAAATCGTAGTATGAAATTAATAATCAATAATTTAATATTATATATTTTACAGAGACATTTTAAAAATGACAAAATAGTTGTATATTATTAAGTGTTTGATGCAAACATTTTAGAAAATAATTTCGTCTAAACTGATCAATAAACAATTTTAATCAGTAATAAAAATATACGTTTTTTAAACCAATTTTTGCGCTGATTTCAAATCAGCAATTAGATTTTTTTCTATATTTTAATTGTCTGTGTTATCACTTTTTATAATATAATGTAGCTGTAAAATTATTTATTTATTTAATCTACTTCTTCTTCTTTTTCCTCACTTTAATCCTAGCTACTAGGAGTCAGTCACCCTTAAATTTCCACTTGACACGATCTTACACATCATCTACGCTCATATCAGCCGTCCTCATATCAGCCGTCCTCATATCGCATACAATAACATTGCTTTATCTCTTTTTTGGTCTTCCTCTATCCCTTCTTCCTGCGACAATCATTTCTATAACTGTTCTTACAACTTTCAATTTCTCTCTACTCATAACATAACTAAACCATCTAAGTCTATTTTTTCTCATCTTAAACACGATTGACGCTACACCTATATACTCTTTTATATGTACGTTTTTTATCCTATCTTTTCTAGTCACT